ATTCTGACAAGTGGAAGAGCGAGCCCATCAACAAGTAAATTTGAATTCTGCACCAGCCTTCTCCCTGAAACGTCTCAGTCCATTGCCGCAGACACTGGACCAGTCTTTCTTGTTGAGAGCCTGTTCTCCTCTACTGACCCTCCATCTTTCCAAGCATGTCTTTTTCCAAGACCAGCCTCCCTGAAACGTCTCAGTCCATTGCCGCAGACACTGGACCAGTCTTTCTTGTTGAGAGCCTGTTCTCCTCTACTGACCCTCCATCTTTCCAAACATGTCTTTTTCCAAGACCAGCCTCTCCTAAAAACATGAACAAAATATATGAGAACTTTGCCTACAGGGAACACCATTCTGGGTGTGTTTTTCCAAGACCTATCTGTCTAGTCTTTTGGCAGTCCATGGGATATGTAAAATTCTTATTTTCTCCTGGTTTGTTATATGGATAATCCTACTTTTCACAGATGTTGTAATACATTTTTTTCTTAAAATCTTTAAGAGCCATTTTAGACTTACAGAAAAACCACCCAAAAGTATAATAGTCCCATAATCTTGGCCTTCTCCCCTGCAACTTCTATGAACATCTTGCATTAAGTGTGGTATTTGATGACCTAGTAATACATTGTTATTAACTAAAGTCCACAGTTTATACTGGATTCCACAGGTGATGGCAGTGGTTAAAGTCCACATAGTTAACAAAACAGAGGTTCAAGTCCTCTGAACGTGTGCCTTCAGAGAAAGGCGAAGACTCAAGCTGCTGAAAACCCAGTGGGTTTTGACAACTGTGTAATGCCCCGTGTCTACCATCAAGTAGCATGCTGTCAACTTGAGTGCCTCTGCTCCACTCTTCCTGCCAGCGACTTAGCACAGCTGTAGTAAAAGTGTCAAGCTTTTTTCCTAATGCCACAGGGTTGGAATCCTACAGTGTACCACTTTTCCAGGCCAGCTTTTTGCTTTGAGGAGTATGTACGTGAGGTTTATTGCTAACACCATTGTATGGATAAAGTGGCTTGTTTATCCATTCATATCTTGGTTTTATGTTGGTGGGCCGTTGTAATTTGTTTCATGTCAGTATCTGCAGTGACGAATCTGTACCTAAATTGTTCCAAAAATTAGGTCCTGGTATCGAGCAGCAGGGCAGTTCCTCTGACTATGCAGGCTTCTCACTGCACCCACTGTCCAGCAGAAAGCATCTAAGTTTCCTTGACTGCAACACCCCACTAATCTAATGATGATAAATCATCAAAATGTTTCATAATATGGTCAACTTGCTCCCCTCAGAGTATGTCCACTTTTTCACTCTTGCCAAGAAGTTTCAATATTCTAGCCTACTTTTAGGGTAAAAAATAGATCATAGATATATGTGCATAAAGTTAAGAGAACCCTTTAAGATATGCAGTTTGATGGTGTCCTTCATTTCTTTAAAATGTATTCATATTATAAATTATTTAAGAGGTGGTGTAGGCTTATGTGGTTTAAAAGGACCAATGGCTTCTTACCAGGTTTGGTGATTCAATGCCAATAAGTACTTTGTGTTGTACCTGAAAACTGAGTTTTCTATCTTAAGAAACGGAGATGGGAGTTAAAAAAAAAAATGTGTAATGTGAGGAGCTAGAGTCAGAAAATCAAAAGGGCCGAACTCGCTCAGCATTTCTTAGGCTCACGGAACTGAAGAACA